TGAAAATTTAGTTTTGTAAATATCAGGTCATCCCATAAGTTCTGTCCGAATTTGAACTTTTTGTTAAAATGAATGAAATTTAAAGAGTATTTTATAATGTCTAATGGAGCTGAACATTATTTTTATGTTTAGATGCATTTAAGCTGATCAAATTTTATTTCAGAGAACAATAAAATTAAATTTTGTTTGATTAAAACCCTGCTAACATGGAAGTACCCAAGAATCATTTGAGGCACATAATGCTTTATGAGTTCAAGAAAGGAATACTCAGCAGCCGAAGCAGCTAGAAACATTCACTCAGTTTATGGAGAGGAATGTGTGAATGAAAGAATTTGCAGAAGATGGTTTGCAAAATTCAGAGGTGGAGATTTCACCCTTGAAGATGAAGATCAAACTGGATGTCCAGTTGAGTTTGATGAAAAGCCCTTGAAGAAAATCCTGCTTTATCAGTTGAGGAATTGGCAGTGGTTCTCAGTTCAAACCATACAACTGTTCATTGTCATCTTCAACAACTTGGAAAAGTTCCTAAATTTGGAAAATGGGTGCCTCATGAATTGTCTGAAAACAACCTCAAATCCTGAGTTGACATCTGCTCTTCTCTCCATTTTCGCCAACTTGTTTCACCTTTTTTGGATAGACTTTTGACTGGCAACGAAAAATGGATCTTTTATTGAAATGTTAAGCGCCGTAGACATTGGCTTGGTAAAGGGGGAAAGACCCCAGCTACAGCCGAGAAGGGAACATCATGGGCTAAAGGTTCTTCTTTCAATATGGTGGGATCATCAAGGAATAATCCACTTTGAATTCTTACCACCTAATGCAACAATTAATGCTCAAATATACTGTCAGCGATTAGAGCATTTGAACCAAGCTTTGAGGAAAAAAAGACCTGCTCTAGTGAATCGAAAAGAGGTGATGTTTCATCAGGACAATGCATGACCACACACAAGAATCACATCACAAAAGATCAAAGAACTTGGTTGGGAGAAGATTCCTCATCCACCTTATTCTCCCGATCTTGCTCCTTCAGACTACCATTTGTTTTGTAGCTTACAGAATCATTTAGAAGAAACAGCTTTTGTAACACAGGAAGAGGTTAAAACTGACATTTGTGAGTTCTTCGGATCAAAGCCAAAAGAATTTTACTGTAATGGAATTAGTAAGCTTGTTAATAGATGGAAGGAAGTCATAGATAATCAGGGAAAATAGATTGTTGATTGAATCTGTAATTAAATGTAACATTTGGTCACTTGTTTTCTTTATTCAAAATTCAGACAGAACTTATGGGATGACCTGATATATTCAACTCATACACAAAAATAAGAAAAAAAAAGGAAATGTAAAGGACAGTAGCAGTGTGACGATATTGTCTAGAGATGACGCTTCTATTGCAAGAAGAGGTGAAAAACCTTGAAGAATTGTTTTTTTTTATTGTTATTTTGTGGAACTGACACCCGAGAGGTTGTTTTCCATGATCCCTATAATCTTAACCTCTTCAAGTCCAGGGTAAACTGCTATCTATACATCATGTCCTCATAATATAGATATAATATCCCACTCAATAATCCACTACCTTGTATTGAGTGAACTAAAGTAAAAAAAAAAAAAGATCTTTGAAGTTCATTGCTTACCCATGAATTTTAACTGCTCTAAGTGGGTCATGTGAAAATATTCAACTCATCTACAAAATAAAGAAAAAGGAAAAGTAAAGAAGAAAGCAGACAAAGTGTAAATTTAATAAATTTCAGCAGCAGTGTGAAGATATTGGTTAGACGACACGTCCATTGCAAGAAGAGGTGAAATGTCTTGAAGAATTGTTTTTTTTTTGTAAAATGATAGTTCATTGACATTACAACTGATGTTCACTTCTTAAGGGTGGTTACTCACAAAAAGCAATAAAGACGGCCACAAGTTTTTTTTCCTACCTATCTTTACTATTCAAAATATCCTCCATTTTGGAAGAGCACAGGAGAAGCCCACTTTCAGAAAAAGCAACGGAAATTTCTGCTATTTCCCAGAAGATATTTCTGAAAAACAAAGACATGAACAGTTCAACAAATCCTGGTTTCTCTCCAACCCATGCACAAAGAAGAATTTGTGCAACATTTATATACGATTTGAAAAAACATATCCCTTCAAGCCCCTAAACAGCAGTGAGTTTCTTTTGAATTTTGCAAGCAATTTCCTTTCAACATCTTTTGTTTTTTGTTTTTTCTTTAACATGTAATTTGTGAATAGTAAACAAGTTTTTCAACTTTATACAGTGACTACATGAATTTTCATTTTACCATTTCTTTGCTGTTTTGGCATTATCATTATATTCTACAAAAGTCTTCACATTTTGTAATTATTATTTTTATATTTTGCTCAGTTCTTTTGGATCATCATCATCATCATCATCATCATCATCATCATCATCATCATCAGTAGTAGTAGTAGTAGTAGTAGTAGTAGTAGATAGATTTGTCTATCATCCAGGTCACTCTCCTTCTTAGTCATTTGAACAGGAGTAGAGCCTTATCCCTTTATTTCCTGTTTAAGATTGGGTTTCTAGTTACTTCTCCTAAGGTCTTTTTATTATCTTTGTTATAGAGGAATAAAGTGTTGCTGCTGACACTTGAGTTTGAACATAGATCGCCAGTGAGCAAACACAGGTGATCCCATTATTGAATTAAGTAGACCACGTGACCATAGAGGAAATGCATATATGTAGGAAGTAGCTGATGACTAATCGCTATATTCTAGTCTATCCTCTATCATATTCGGATCTGTATTTTTACTCTATCCTCTCTTACTATACAGACCACTATTCTCTACTCTATTCACTATACTATTTCTCTCTTTGGAACACTATACAGATTACTATTTGAGCGAGTATTATCGAGCAAGTACTATTAGTGCAAGTGATATTTGAAGGCATCTGATACCAGCATTGTTCAACAGCATACTATAGTTGTATCCCCGATTACAAAGTCTCTACTACAACAAGCATTACAAAAGTGTCATAGTGGCATTATGTCCTTGCTGGGGATGAACTGATTAAAAAAAAACTAAAAATCATCATCATCATCTTAGTCGCATGGATGGATGTGGTTGTAGGGTTGCTGCACAACAGAACATGTGGCCAGCTCCTTCCACGTGTGTTGGTTGCGTGCTGATATCTGGGTTGAAAGTTGCATAGCATATCTTGGACAGGTAGACTTTGATGGAGCCCATCCCTCTCTCTCCAGGTCGAATCAATTGAAGATTGATGATGATGATGATGATGATGATGATCTTGGTCATATACATGTGGCCATTGATTCTATTGGGAGAATGCTTTGCCCTAGCTGTGGACTTTAGTCTAGGAACCACACACCCAGCAAATTCCATGTCATCACTGCACTGGATATATTACTAGTGATTCTGACCTCTGTGCAGATTTAGTCTGCAGCTAAATTTTTATATTTCATACCAATTTTTATATTCTGTGAATCATCTTTAATAACTTGTCTCCTGATTTTTATACAAGATAGTCCAATTTTGTCATCAACTGACATCTACAAAATTATTCTGATGATCAGACCATTTTATTTCTACCAACTGTCTTTTCATTTTTAACTAATGTTCACCCATTGCAAGGCCCAAGAGCCACTCAAGGTAGAGGGTTACTGAATGAGGTATGTAACACAAACATCAGAGGAGTAAGTAAGTTTGATGGATTTAGAAATTGATTTGTTTTTATGGCTTACCAACCTTTTGCAGGTTATTTAAAGCCAGCCTAGATATGGCAGCAATACACCATTTTTGGCTTGACCTGGCTCTTTTAATGATAGAGCATGGCAGAACGAGTCAGGTATTTTATAGCGCAGTATAAGGATCTGACCATTTTTCCAGTATCTTTAGCAATGGGTTGTATATATGTGTTCACCTTGAGCTCTGGGGTGAACATCAATCTCAGTCAACATTTAAGGCAAAGGAGCCTCATTGAGAATGCAACTGTTCCTCAAGTGCCTATTGGGTTTAAAGCTCACGACAGACTGCAAATGGAATGCGTATATTCATGCCATTGCTAAAAACACTGTAAGAATGATTGGTTCCTTGTATCAGGCCAGAAAATTCCATGCTCCTTCTGGCATGATCTATTTTTACAAGAGTCAGATCAGATCAAGAATGGAGCATTGCAGCCATATCTGGGATGGTGCTAAACTAGTTTTCACTGTCTGGCCTTGATAGAGTTCAAAAGTGCTTACAGGGCCTTATGGGTGACGAATTATTCTCCATCCTGTAACCCTTATCCCACAGATGAAATGATGATAGCCTCTCACTATGTTATTGTGATTATTATGGCAAATCTAATGTGTTACATTCTTTAGTCCCAACAACTAAGACGTTCACTGCTAGGGCCTGACATGCCATGTTCATTGTGAAAACCATTCCCATTCCCTTTGTGTTCCTTTGGCAATGAGTAAGTTTCACTCAGCTTCTTCCTCAGAACAGTTACTTTGTGGAACAGACTCCTGAGAGGATATTTCCCTGGCAACTAAACTCTTTACATCTATAATCCTCACTCCTTACTTCCTAACTCCCTTGCAACAACCTGGCTCAGTAACACTCTATCTTGAATAGCTCTTGTGTCTTTATTTGGGTGAACTATAGTAAAAATAAACAAAAAATACATTGTCAGTGTGGTTATCTATCAAGCAGATAATGAAGCAGTTAAACATTAACATTCCAGGGGTATGTGAAACTACGTGGGAGAAATAATGGGGACTTCATAAGAAACTGACATATATGCAGACAGTAAGAAAGATGAAAGAGGAATAGGACTTGTACTTGATTAATACATGAAGAAATGTTTCCTGAGATACTATTAACTATCTGACAGAATTCATCTAGTTAAGATAACATTTTATTTGTAGAACTTCAAGGAACAAATAAGTGTGTTATTACTAATTTGGTCTTCTTCCAAATTTTGGCTTTCTATATATACTAATATTTAATTTTATTTCTTTTGCAAGGGTGAGGAAAATGTTGTGGTACCAATTCATGCTTACCCAGTAATGAACACAGATGGATTTCCTCAGTTTTATCTCTTTCCTCCTGTTCCTGTTGGTGAAAGGTTAGTTGGCTTTTCATATATCTATCATTCTGATTCTATTATGTAACATCAATCTTGTATGGCAGTGAATGCTGAACAATCTGCCCACAGATGAAGAGAAAATTGAAGGCAGCGGAAATGTGGTTCTACAGAAGGATTCTGAGAATTCTATGGACATGGTGCATAAGCAATGAAGAAATTTTATGGAAAATGGAAACCAAAAAGACATTTATACTGAGAAGCAGAATGAGACATATAATGAGGAAGGATAGTTTGGAGAATTTGACACTCACAGGGCATACTGAGGGCAAGAGGGACAGGGAAAGGCGGCAGGTAACCTACCTGAACAATGAAAAGTGAATGGATGGCAAAACTGGGTGGGAGGAGGCTTAGAAATAGAAAATTTTGGACAGCCACATCACCCAGATTCTGAAAGCTATATAATTTTGGACAGCCACATCACACAGATTCTGAAAGCTATATAATTTTGGACAGCCGCATCACACAGATTCTGAAAGCTATATAATTTTGGACAGTCGCATCACCCAGATTCTGAAAGCTATATAATTTTGGACTGCCGCATCACCCAGATTCTGAAAGCTATATAATATGTTATCAAAAACATTATGTATGAATAATTAATTTAGGGAACATTTTCTAAATGTGTCCTGTATAATCTTTATTAAAATATTCTCTTCCTGACTTTCACTAACTGAGGTCCTGTAGACTCCACTTAGAAGTATGGGGCCACAGCTCCTAATGTGCCAAGTAAGTTTTTATGAGACAGAGTTACTTGCCTCATACCCAACAAGTTTTCAACTCAGAATTCTCCATCTCCTAGACTAGTTGCCAAACAGTGGTGGGATTCAGTGAGTTTGCACAGATCTGAGCGAACCTGTTCTTGGAAATTTATGAGCTCAGCAAACCCGTAGCTAGGTGCAACCCAAACAAACAAATTGCTAATTTTAGATTGTCTACAAATTGTAGTCACATAATCAGTTGGGGATGCTGATTGAGGTGATTGAATACAGGTTAATGCAAATTTCATGAACTGCTGAACTTGATAGAGACAGAAACTTGAAAGATGCAAGAAATAGTTACTCCCTGGAAAGATGCGGAAGAAAAGCTAAATGGCTTCAGTAAAATTTTTCATCACAACATTCCCATTAATGATTTTTTCATGACTTTGTGGAAAATGTCCTGAACACTTTTATAATCATGTAATTCTTCAAAATGCACAAAAAGCGAAAACTGTTAGCAATATGATTGCTATCAGTTTTTCCGAGGCAGAAAGAAGTTTTTCAAGAATGAAAATTATATACTCAGATAAAAGAAGCTGCCTTTGGAAAATGCAGCAAATTTGATGACAGTTAATCTTATTGGTCTCCCTTTAGATTTATGGGATGCCACTCCTTTCGTTAAAACATGGCTTAGAAAAAAAATCAGTGCTGATGACAACAGAGTGAGGCAAAAAAAAAAGCTGAAAATTATGATGACAGTCAAGTGGCTATTTGGAATTTTTTAAAACGAAAGATCATGAATAAAAGATTTTAAAGCAATTCTTTTAATTATTTTTTCCTTTCAAAATAATAACATGCAGTTTGGTATTTTTGAATAAGTGCAAGAAAAATTTGCTTTATTCCTAAAATAAGTCTTTACTATGGAAAAATAAGGGAACCCATTGCTATTGAGGACTGTTGTTGATAGAACCCATTCTTAAAATTTTTGTATCCCTAGACTGGTTGCCAACCAAAACTAAAGAGTTTTGTTTGCTCTATTATTTAATATATAGCTGGAAGAAGAAGAGTTGGAAAGTAAAACCTGTTCATTCAACCATTTACACAAACTCGTAAGGTAGCTTATGTGTTACTTTTCTCTGTCCTTCTTGCCTTCAATATGTCCTGTGAGTGTCAAATTGTCCAAGCCTTCTTTCTTCATTATGTATCCTAGGAATTTGAATTCTGTCTTTCTGATGTTAAATATAAGTGTTCTTTTTGTTTTTATTTTCTCTAAAACATTGTTGCTGCTCACATGTTCAGTCCATGGTATTCTTAGCATTCTTCTGTAGAACCACATTTATGCTGCCTCAAGTCTCTACTTTATCTAACAAGAGTGTCCAGAATTCATATAGGAATTTTATAATAGTTCAGTACTCATTTCTAATTAAATTTTTCTGTTTCTTAATACTTTGCTTAGCTTTTGGAAGGCACCTTTTTCATCCCGATGTACCTTTTGATTTTGGTGTTGCATTTTCTATCCTCCTCTATTAAAACACTTCCTTGATATTTAAATTTTTGTACTTTTTAAATTTTTGTACCTCTAATCATAATTCATATGTGTGACTGTTTATTTTGCTTACAACCATACATTCTATCTTTTTACATTTGATGTGTAGTCCTTTCTTCTCACTTTCCTTTACTAACTTCTGTAGGACTCCCTCTCTATGTCTGCTATCAAAACTGTATCATCTATATATCTAATGTAGTTAACATTGTGTCTGCCAGTAATAAATCTTGGTCAAAATTCTAATTCTCTCAGAATCATCTCACTTTAAAGGTTGAAATAATTTGGTGAAACGACACATTCTTGTCTTACACTTTTTTCTATTTTTATCTATTTACTGAATTCATTTTCTATCCTCATGACTGATTATCTCTATTCTAATATGCTTTCCAAGTAAATCAAGCTTACCTATCAGTTCAAATAGTTCTTTGTGACATACCTTGTAAAATGTTTTTGCACATAATCTATAAAACATAGATATACATCCTTTTGCATTTGCATTGCTCTTTCAGATCATCATTCTGAGCATAAATATTGCATTTCTTGTTCCACTGTTTTTAACAAACCTGCACGCTTCTTGTCCTGTTTCTGGTCTAATTCTGCTGTGTGTTCTATTCATCAGAATTTGGATAATTTTTTTATTATGTGTCTTATTATGCTGATTCTCCTGACTTCTTACACTTTTGGCTCCCTCTGCAATGTTTATTGTTTTAAAAAGTGATGATTTGAATTTTAATAAAACTTAGTGTATAGTGTAAAAGAAGTGTCCAGAGTTATAGCAGTGCCAGAATAATATCCTTTTGAAACATCATTTTTTTTTGCAGGCACAAAGATTAAACATTCCCCCCCTCCCCCAAAAAATTGTTCTTAGAATGATAGGGTTGATAAACCATAAAAACAAATCAGTCAAACAATGCTATGTCTTTTATGTTTGATTTTTTGATATTGGCTGATTTTTCTTATATGTTCCTTTCCTTAGATTTTGTGGGAAGTGAATATCCGAGAAAAACCAACCCTGTTTGCTATCATTTTTCTTCTATTTTATGTTGTTGATGGACTTCTTCTTCTATGTGCACGCTTCTTGTCCTGTTTCTGGTCTAATTCTATTCATCAGAATTTAGATAAAATCTTCTTCTATGTGCTGCATCTCTTCAGGGCATGGTTCTCCATAACTCCGTCTTGTGTAGCTCTTAGCAGTTTTTCTCTCTTTGATATGGTCCTCCTCACCCCTCCCTGTTGAGCCATCCAAGCTTGTCAGGTAATTAGCTCACTGTCTTCCTCTATCTCTCTTGCCCTCTATATGCCCTGTGGGTGTTAAGTTTTCCAAACCCTCCTTCCTTGTTATGCGTCCCAAGAATTTCAGCTGTCTTTTCTTGATTCAGAGAGTACGTGTTCTTTCTGTTGCTATTTTATTTTTGAGACTTCCTTGTTGCTTACTCATTCCATCAATGGAATTTTCATCATTCTTCAGTAGAATTACATTTCTGATAACTCTGGTTTTTTCATCATTCCTGCGGACATTGTTCAGCATTCACTATGGGTACTCAGTTAAAATAAGCAAAAGAAGAGACTCTCACTTATGGATTGCATACCTTGCTAAAATGTAACAACAAAAATAATTAGATCACCAATCCCCATAATTCTTGGAATGCAAATTCAAAATATGCAACATCAGCTTGTCTGCATATATAATCTCTATTCCTTCCTGTATCACTCCATTTTGTGCCTCTTAGATCATTGGCTTCTGGTGATAGGTTGACTTGTTTCTTCCTTAGTGTTAGATTTCTTTAATGATTCTAGTTCAAAAGCAAAAGAGAGCAGAACCAGTTATTAATCTTTGATAATCTTTTCTTTGATCAGTGGGTGAGTTCAAATTTTATTGGAGATTACTTCTTTATTTCTGATCCAAGCTATTAATGGCTGGAGAATGAAAAAACAAGCTGGGGAAAAAAAAACAAACAAAAACACACACACACACACACACACACACACACACACACACACACACACACACACACACACACACACACACACACACACATGTGAATATATATTATGATCTGCATAGACAAACTAGAATTATGATATACATACACACATGAATTATACATATGACTGCTGCTTGACAAGACAGGTACACATAAGGTGAGCTTAATCTATGAAACATAAATAATACAAAAATTAAAAATACCAAAATTCCCTTCCTCTATTTGTTCCTTATCCTGTCATTCTGTTGGATTCCAGTCCATATTTGATTCTCTCTCTCTCTCTCTCTCCCTCTCTCTCTCTCTCTCTCTATATATATATATATATATATATATGTGTGTGTGTGTGTTTCAATTGTTGAAACCATGGTAGTGTAAATGTTGATCCTATGTTTTAACATTTAAAAGCTCTGTATGCTCAATTTTTTGAATTGTGTGCCAAGCACTTTTAATATAACCATTTCCTTGTTTGATTTAACTCTGACCAACAACTGTTTAACCATTATATATATATATATATATATATATATATATGTGGGAAAATGATATATGAAAAGTATATAAAATGTAGAAGAAAAATAAACTAAATGAACTTTTTTAGACTATATTCAACCGAGTAGGGGTGTATTAAAAAAAAAAAATCCAAAATTGCTTTTGTCACTGCAAATTATTCATTATATCATATTGAAGTATTTTACAAAAAAAGAGTCAATTACACAATATTTCAAGCTCAATTTAAGTTTATAGTTCATAACCATGCAATGAGATGAGTTAACATAAACCATAGATTTGTCTGTGG